TGTACTACTCTATGCCGATGACACAGTGTTGTTATCCCACTCTAAAGTTGGTCTGAGGCGTTTGTTGTCTCGCTGTATTGCTTTCTTTACCAACCACAAGCTTCAGCTTAACTATGATAAGTCCAAAATCCTAGTGTTCGCCAAAAAGTGGAGATTATACCAATGGTCTATCAATGGTAAAGTGATAGAGCAAGTTAAAGACTACAAATATCTAGGCATTTATTTTCATTATAATGCAATGTGGTCTACCCATCGCAAATATGCGGTGAAGCTTGCTAGTATTAGTGCATCGGCCATAGTACATTTCTTTTACCACAGGGGCAACCAACTTGTGCCAGCTGCAACCAAAATTTTTAGGTCCAAAGTCAGCTCCCAGTTATTGTATGGCATCCCAATCTGGATCAGAGCTTTTGACCACACCATTGAACGAGTCCAATCCAATTTTCTGCGTAAAATCATGGCCCTACCAAATTGTGTACCGAATGCGGTCATATATTTGGAAACTGGCTCGTCCCTGATGGAAACTTGTGCGTGGCTTACAACCTTTAAATACTGGCTCCGCCTTCATTATAACTTTGAACATGGGAGCCTCATACATCACATGCTTTCCGAGCTTAACCTCTCAAACTGGTCAGCATATATCGAAGGGAAAATTAAAGTACTGGGTCTCTCCTTGGAATCCCTGTCCATGTTGTCTTTTGCGGTTGCATTCCAACAGATTAAAAACAGGTTGTTACTCGGAGCGCCAAAATGTATATAGTTTAGCTAATAAGACCTGCTCTCCTCTGAATTTTGAGATTCCCCTTACAACAGGGACGATGGCTGTGTATCTATCCTCTCTGCAGGTCCCTCAATGTAGAGCATTCACCCTGTATAAATGGTACTGATATTTTATGCCAATAAAGGCTGACTTGACTTGACTATTAATATTTATTTATTTATTTATTTATTTCCATTTTTATCCCGCCCTACCCGCACGCAGGCTCAGGGCGGCTTACAAGGCAATGTTATTTTAGAATAACATGTTATTTTAGAATAACTTGTTATTTTAGAATAACATTGAGATAAGATTATGTATTGATCTCCTACTCTTGGGTTTTTAGTTATTAGTGGGTCTTTAGTCTTTCTCCTTAGATGTAGTTCCCTTCCCTATTTTTCTGTTTAGTTTGTAGTGTATGAAAAAAACAATAAAAATTTTCCCTCAGGGGGATTTAAAAAAAAAAGGAAAGGAAAATCATACAAGCTAGCAAACCTACTGAAAGGCACATGTTTGCAATTGCTGGTTCAAACCCAAATCTTGAGAATCATTGGCTTTTGGATTCTGGAAGTTATAGTCATGTTTGTAATCAAAGAGAATGTTTTATTGAGTTGATTAACAGAAATGCCCTAGTGTACCTTTAAATACTTAATGGTCAAGAATTGAATATTCAAGGATGTGGTTCAGTGTTACTAAGAGTTATGAATGTAAATCAGGAAATTGAGGAGATTCTACTACGAGACAGTACTTATGTGCCTGAGGGTACAAATAATCTACTCTCAACCAAGAGAATTGTGAAAGGTGGATACAGAGTCCTCATTGGAGAAGATAATAGTTGCATTTTTAATGTTTTTGAGAAATTCAAAGCTTACATGCATCTGGCTTTTTTAAATCCGAAAACTCACAAGGCTACCAGCAGTGAAGCAAAACTTCTGAAAGCGGCAAGGATGATGCCTTTTGATGTCCAGACAGACTGCCTGATCAATGAGTGGAAGATGATTAGAGCAGAAACACTCATAAGAATCAATAACGGAGACCTTGAACTACAAAGAAGTAACAAAGGAGTTAAAGACTGTCTTCCATTGCCACATGGTAATGGCGATGTTGAGAGAGGCTTTTCAACATCTGGACATGTGATTACAGAGCAGACAGCTGCTGTGAAAGAAAGAGCTATGAATGCACAATTGAATGTTATAGATGCCTTGAAGTTTTATGGCAATAAACCTGCTTGTGTTCCAATCACAAAAGAGCTCATTGCCTATGGAAGAAATACAAGAAGTATCATCAGTACTTAGAGGAAACTGAACTGAGAGAAAAGAGACCTGCAGCTTGGGAGATCCTGGGGGAGGCAAGTGAGCTGCGGAGAGGAGACCTCACCTCTGCAAATGTCTCCCCAT